GCACTCTCTACAGCTAAGATTGTGAACAACGGCTCGACCTAGAACTAGGCTACTGTTAGTGGCCATCGGATGACTTGCGCTACCGTGAAGCTGCTGTGGGCTGCCATGAGCTACTGTGAGCCACAGCCAGTAACAAGCGTGAGTGGCCGGCAGCTAGCGAGAGCTGCTATGAGTGGCCATCCAATGGCTGGCGACCAACTGCCTCAGCTGGGAAGAGCGCAATGATCACCAACATGGGCCAGTGAAGTGGCGTCCTCCACAACTAGATTAAGAACAACAGCTTGGGGTGGGGGGGTGGGGGGAGGGTCTCTGCAGAGGTGATCAAATTAAGATGAAGTCGTAATGGGACAGAGTGGGCCTAGAGCCAGTGAGTGGTGTCTTCACAAGAGAAAGGAAATTCGGACACAGAGACACAGAGGAGATACTCAGAGAGGAAAGGCCATGTGACAGGCCTCCTTGGAGCCTGGACTGATGGGTCCACAAGCCAGGAACCCAAGGATGGTCGATAGCACGGGAAGCTGGAGATATGTGTGAAACAGACTTTCCCTCAGAGCCTCCAGGAGGAACCGCCCTGCCAACCCTTAGCCTGTTCCTGTTGTTTTAAGCCCCCAACTTTGTGGTAATTTGTGACAGTGGCCCAAGAAAACCAACACAGCATAGATAAAGGACATTTCCATAATTCCCAAAAGTCCCACTGGACATTGGTGGTCTAGAGTCCAGGGGTCGGCAAACTGCAGCTCGCGAGCCACATGCGGCTCTTTGGGTTTGTTCCGTCTCAAAAGTTTGCCGACCCCTGGAAGAGCCAATCTTCTCCCTCACAACAATTTAAAAATTATTCGAGAGCCATAAATATATTTTTACATAATCACCATTATGTGAATAATATCCTTTAAAATATTTATAAATGAAACTATGATAGTTTTATTTTCATTTTCAATTTTACTTCAGAGCCTGCAGCTTGTGAGCCGCAATTTGCTGACCCCTGGCGGCTCTTCCATCTCAAAAGTTTGCCAACCCCTGGTCTAGACTATCTGTGGAAGTCTTGAAAATCAAGAGGAAAAAGCCATAGTCCTGGGAAAACATACCAAGAATAGGAATATGCAGTGCGCACAGGGGAAACAAAAATGGCTGATAAGACTGGTAAGTGATGTGCACCCTCTCGGTAGCCAGAAGAAAGAAAATTCAGATAAACCCGGGTTTCTGCTACACAGCCAACAGGTGGGTGAGCTCGAGACCTAAATAATATACAGTCTTCACAAGAAATCAGGAAAGAAAACACGCGGGCACAGCTAGCATGAGTGCTAACTCGTCATTAAGCACAAACGGACAATATTGGAGAAGCCAGGTATGTATGTCCCTCACTGAGACAAATGCCACACGGCCCCCCTCCCCATGAGGACAGCTGGGGGTCTCCATGGAAACACGGTGCTCTTCCTGGGGTGAGGACAAGTGTGGGTGGTGGTGGGGAGGGCATACTGGCCATCATGTGCAAGGGGCAGAAACCATGAACACAGCAACACAGATAAACCTCAAAGACATGGTGTCCAGTGAAGCTAAAACCCAGAAGGTCAATAGCACGACTGTGAGGTAAATGGAAAAACCAGACGGACCCAGGGGTGCATCACAGCGGTCAAGGGGGAAGGGGACGGGCATAGGGAGAAGTGCTGGGACTGGGATCCAAGTGGAGCGGGACCAAGACACTCAGGTAGAAGTGGGGCACAGCTTCTGGACCCCAAGGCCATGGAGCAACACTGAAGAACAGTGGCGCGGGGGAGCTAGGGAGCCCCCAAGAGCCCAGGGTGTGGCCTGTGTTATGACCCACAGAGCTGACTATGGATCGAACCCCTCAGACTTAGCATCAGAAAAAAGGGAATAAGAAATAGTAACATCCCTACAGATAAAGGAGGCACGCCAGGAAGACATGCCTATAAAGCAGACACTAGAACCAGTACTTTTTTTTTTTTTTAAGATTTTTATTGGGGAATTGGGGGGATGGGAACTGCATTGGGGAATTGGGGGGATGGGAACAGACAAGTTGCTGTTGTTTTGTTCTTCAGTCTAGTTGTGGAGGACGTTGCTTCTCTGGCCCAAGTTGGCACCATCATTGCGCTCTTCCCGGGTGAGGCACATCAGTCGCTGGCTCTGGACGGCCGCTCACTGCGGCTGCTGGCCGCTCACGCTGGCTGCTGGCTACACACGGTAGCCCATGGTAACCCACTGCCACAGGGGCTGCAGCCTACTCCGTCGCTGGCGACTCATGGCAGCCCAGCTCCAGGTTGAGCTGTTGTTCAGCATCTTAGCTGTGGAGGGCAGTGTCACTGGCCCTCATATGTGGGATCTGAACCGGGGCCCTCTGGCGTCCCAAGCCAGTTCTTAACCATCGCGCCACTCGGCCAGCCCTAGAACCAGTATTTCATCACAAATGGAGCTAGAAAAATGGTAAAAGTGACAAAACAACAACGTGCATCAGAAATGGGGGAAATTTTTACTGAGATCATTGGGGAAAATGAGGATTTAAAAAGACTGCTAAGGGGGCAGAGCACGTGCTCTTGACAAGGTTGCCAGTTCGATTCCCGCATGAGATGGTGGGCTATGCCTCCCCCCCCCACCCCCCCACACAACTAGATTGAAAACAGCCACTGGGCTTGGAGCTGATGGGTCCTGGAAAAACACACTGTTCCCCAATTAAAAAAAAAAAAAAGTGCTGACACGACTTAGAAATGAAAGAACAGATTTCTAAAGGAAGACTGAAGTGGGAGGAAAACCTGGCAGTGAGGAGGACGTGGGTGTGTCTTGCACAACCTGCCTTTGGAAGGTGGGGCCTGACTGGGGCCACCACTCCCCCTCCCTGCCAGTGCTGAGGGCAAACACCCAGGCCCCAGAGAGGTGGTAAGCCCGGGAAGCTCTGGGTGTCAGGGACCAGCACACCCTCTACACTCAGGCTGAAGTCCCAGGCCGGGGACTCCGGCAGCTCCCCAGCTGTCCCTGAAGACCAAATCCAACAGCGCTGACCCCCAATCCTCAGAGCACCAGGGAAATGCCAGCCCCACCCCACCTGGGAGTGTGAGGTCACCTTTGAGACCTGAATGGCCCCCCAGTGGGCCCAGAGCCTGGCCCATCCAGGTGGACAGGCCCAAGCAGCTGTGGGGCCTGTGGGGAGGGGCAGGCTGGTCTACCTCCTGCATCCTGGGGTCAGTGCTGGGGCCCAAAGGCGGCCACATGGGGCACAGTGACCGTGGGTTGTGTGGTTGGTGAGGGACATGTGCTGTGTGTCAGGTTTAGGGGGACCAGGGGTCCAGAGCTCTGTTTTGCACACAGAAGCCTTTGTAGAGGATATTTCAAGGAGGGCCCTGTGTCTGGAGCTCAAGCAAGGTGAGAGTGGGGATGAGGTCCTGGGATAGTAGGCTGGGGGGCATTTCATGCTGTGGCATGGGCAGTACAATGGCTACAGTTTATTCACCTACCTGCTGGTCTCAGGTAAGCCTCCCAGCAGGCCGGTGCATTAGGTCCTGTTCCTGTTACCATCTTATAGATGAGACTGGGGCCAGGATGACAACCCAGGCACCTTCCGTGTCTCAGAATCAAAGCAGTTACCTCTACTCCATGTCAGAAAATGTCAAGCTTGAGTGTCTTCAGGCCTCTATCCCAAACGATGCCTCTGCACCCACCTCCAGGACAGAGGGAAGCCCTTGAGGTGTTAGGCTAGTGGCAGGTCACCACCAGCCCAGTCCTAAGTGGGTGTGGCCACAAGAAGAGCAGAGGCCTCCATCAGAGAGGGAGAGGAGGGGGCAGGGAGGCTGGACAGGTGCAGTCCCTACCTGGAAGAGCTGGGGGAGGAGCCTGCGTGTCCCCTGTGCCCTGGGAGGGTGGTGGGGACACGGAAGAGCAGTTTCTGGGGGAGACCGGAGCTCACAAGCAGAAATGCTGAACAGCAGGTGCAGGCCGTCGCCCAGGCCAGGCTCACACACTGGATGGAACTGGGATGGGGCCGCTGGACTCTGGGCCTCCGAGGAGCCCCTGAAACACAGCCCTGAAAAGGCTTCTCTGGAGGAGGCTGTGGGTCAGTGCTGACCACCCTATCTATGGGCTGAGAGGACAGGCCTGTGGCTCTGACCCACAATAGGGGCCCCAGATCAGGTAGCGGGGAGGGCAGGCCTCAGGGAACATCAAGGTGGCCCAAGCTCTGGAACCCAATTGCACCGTGCAGCTAGAGGACAGACGTCCTGGGGGACCTCAGACAGGGGCTGCCAGGGGCTCCCACTTACATCCTGTGGAAGATATCTGACTGCCCTTCACATGTGGACTGGGGTGGCAACAAGGCACAGGCTCCCAAGCAGCCAGGATCCCATCTGGCTACTGGAAGTAGAACCCCACCCACTCCAGCCCCCAGCCTTCTAGACGCATGGCAACGCCCCCTCACCCCCCTCCCGAAGATGAGTCACTCCAGAGCCTGCCCCACCCCCACTTTTGTTTTTGCTCCTCAGGGTCACCCCAGGCTCCAGGATCTCAAGGACAGCTGAGGTGGAGGAAGGCCCATCCAGAGGGTGGGCGGTGACCTAGTGCAAGATACACACAGGAGCCCTACTGTTACCCGATGTCCCCTCCACCCCCAGCTCTAGCACTGCATGGGGGCCCAGGCCAAGGAGGGGGCCCTTCCTGGAGTAGCCTAATTGCTGCTTGTCCCAGCTCAAGCGGCTCACCGGTGAGACTGTGCTATTTCTAACTGTAGCAGGTGCCATCCCCCCCACACCCACACCCACACCACAAGCCCAGAAAATGCTTTCCCAAGGTCTGATGGTGGGGGGCGGACACCTCCCCTATCCTTCTGCCAGAGGCTGCAAGGGCAGGGCGCCTGTGCACCCACTGGGGCTGGCTCTACCTGAGCACACAAAGGGTCCAGGGCCCTGGAGGAGCTGGAGAGAGAGGGGCCTGCCCGTCCCTGCACCCTCCCCCAGCAGCACCCTTCCCTCCCACCTCCCAAATAAGCACACAGACGGTGGTTGTAGTCTAAGAACGATGGACATTTAGACACTGGCACCAGGCTTATGCCTGACCAGCGCCATGCCAGGGCGGGCAGAGCAGACAGAGGTAGGAGCACACGCTGCGGGGGCACCAGCGAGGGCCTGGGGCTGCTGGGGTGAGGGTGGGAGGGGTTAGCCACAGTGACTCCAGAGGGCTGGGTCCAGGGTGGTCAGTCAGGAGCTCACGGAGAGCTGACAGGCTGCACCCCTGTTGGTGCTCGGCATTTCCAGGTGGTCAGCACAGGAAGCAATCTTGGCCAGGAGTGCTTAGGTCTGCCTGGAGAGACAAGGCCAGCCTTCAGTCCACACTGGGTGGGTGGGCAGCAGCATCGCTGGCAGGTCCTGGCTCCTGGCCCCCTGCACAGGGAGGAGGTGAGGGGGTGCTGTCCGCCATGCTGTGGTTGAGGCTCAGCATGGAAACCACAGTGGAAGGTTCACCTGGGCAAGGCTGGCATCTATGCTGCCCTCTGGACCCGACACTGACTTTTCAGGCCGGGTTCCCTCTTCCCAGCCCCCAGCCCCCACTCGCCATGGAAAGTCCTCAACAGAGGCAGCACACGCAAAGTAACAGGTGGCACCCAGCCCTGGAGAACCGTCAGCTTCCCCCAAGGTCAGAGAACACTCACCCCTGGGGCAGCTGGACACCAGGCCCTGCCTGAACTATAGCAGGGGTCCCAGGTTGTCAGACACCCACGTAGGAACACGCCACAGAACGCTGCTTGCTGACGCTCCTGCAAAGCTTGAAGGAGGTCCCAGGGGGGCTCTGGCCAGTCTCAGGGCCACAGACCCCCTTGGACAGCACGGGACGGGTGGCTGGCACCCGCAGTGGGCCTGATATACTAAGGCACGAAGCTAACCTAAGCCCAGTGGGATGGGTGGAGAGACGACGGACGGGCTCCAAAGGGGCCTCGAACTAGCAAAGCGCACAGTGACCAAGCAGTGACAATAGCCTGGGCTTCCAACTTGGCACAGGATGGAGGTGCAGGGTGACGACCCCGGGGTGCCAATGGCTCTTGCTAGAAGGGGCTCTATATGTCCTGGCGGCCTCTAAAAAGGCCTCTGGAGAGCAGGAAGAGCCCTGGATTCGGCTGGCACCCCCGCCCAAGTCCAAGGGCCAGTCCTGAGCTGGATTCTGGGAGGTGGAGGCCCAGCTTGGAAAGTAGTGCGACGACTCCAAGGCCCCGTCGCCAGCCGCCAGTGCCCTGTCCATCACCAGCGGGCCTTGCGTTAAGATCCTAAGGAAGGAGCAGGAGCGAAAAGAAGAGAGCGGGCGAAGGGGCCTGGGGCCTCCCGCGCACCTGTCGGCAGGCAGAGCCCCAGTGACGGGCCGCCTCCAGCATCAGGGCTGCCTGCGCAAGCCCGGGCGCCCGAAGGCCGGGTGCATGAGGTTCTCGGTGATGTATGCCACCAGCAGGCAGATGACCACGAGCATGACGCAGATGGAGCCGCCCACCGCCGTCATGGCCACCACGATTTCCCGCATGCCGGCAGGCTCGGCGGCGAACTCCACGCACTCGGTGGGCCCGGAGGACTCAGGAGCGGCGGGATCGGCGCGCACCGGCAGCGGCTGCAGGCACAGGCGGTAGCGCACGCCGTCGTGCACGTCGGGCAGCAGGTAGTCGCGGCAGGAGGCGCCCAGCAGAACGCGCTCGCACGGGAAACGCGTGTAGGCGCCGCGCCACGAGCAGTTGAGCGCGAAGGCGCGCACGCGGCGCGCCTCGGCCGGCGGCAGGCGCCACTGCAGCAGCACGCTGCGATTGCGCAGGACGCTGGCGCGCAGCAGGTGGCCGGCCGAAGCGTGCGCCGCGCAGCCGGGTGCCTGGCAGCGGAAGCCGCGCGCGGGGCTGCGGAAGCACAGGCGCCCGCCGTCCGCCTCGGGGCCCTCGGGCAGCACCTTGTAGGGGCACCAGGGCGCATCGGCCGCCGGCTCCCAGCCCGGCGGCGT